CTCTCTTTCTCTATCTCCCTTGTTTTCAAGTAGATGACAGGTGCATAAACAGAACAAATTCTGTACACGCACGTACGATTGCCCCCTGCCACCTTCTCAGTACCATATAAATTTGTCTCATGTCAATGTTCACGTTTCTTCTTAGTAGTGTCTCAACCTCTCCAAGTACTCTTCAACACCCTCAAGCTTTGCAGAAATCAACCGTCGACCTTTATCAATTCCTGATCTCTGTTCTGTTTCAGGCAATCTCCATGGCGAGAAACGTATTGCGGAAACGACATTTGAAGATTTGTTCATCAGGAAATTTGTTTTCGGCACTTGGCATAATTCGTTAGCATCAGAGGTGGTGATAAAGCGACGGCACAACATGATCACTTTGGTCTTCCTGGTCAATATGGACAGAATGCTGGCCCGACAGGTTTACTTCCTGCAGGGATACACTGAGGAGTTACTCACACACTGGTTGAAAGGCCCAGTGAAAGTGGAACTACAGACCGTCAATTCAAGAGAGGATGTGATTTTCAAGAAAATTTAGCTTATTATATATGTGTACAGATTAGAATTAAAATTGTTTCATAATTTTCACATATATTTGTTGTCTTTTTTTAAAATGTCTAATCGTATTGTTGTTAGGAAAGCAGGCTTTTGAACAATTTGTGTTCCTTGTGGGGATGATTTGGTGTTTTCCTGGTTCAGCTTATAATGCAAATTTTAAAATGTGGTTCTTAATATTCTTATAATAAAAATTCCAAGATCTGAACCCAGTTCTTGTTTTAAAAATATTTTAAGTGTCTGCACTTGGTGGGGTTGACTCTTTTCAAAGAGACACACAGTTGACTAACAGAACTTGCAAATGGAAACCTGACAGCGAGTTGGTGGGTTGACCAATAGCCTTACTGCAATCCAACAGGCGATGAAACATTTGTTAAGTTGGAATAGTACATCGGAAAATCTGCAGTCATTACTGTATAGCCAACAACTACAAGTGTCTGGTTTATTTTGATGTAGGTCTTTGCCATTTCTCCTTCCTACTTCTTTGCTGTAAACATGGAGTCTCTCTCCTTGCTTTGTGTACAGTAGGGCATTGAACTTATAAAAAATAAAATCAAGTCTGGAAACTAGGAAAGAATTCCATTTTGTGGTATTTGTAGGGTCCACTAGCGGCTCAGTCTGACCATCTGGCCTTGACAGATCAAGATTGGAAACGATGCCTCCGTGGATTCCCGTTAACCAGTAGGTAAACACTCTTTGTTTTTCCTTAGATATTCAGTTAAACACCGTTATACTTACTGTACCGCCTGCCTTGGGACTAGCATGAAGTTTGTGGTACAGTGAAGCTGGCGGTATAACGAGATAGCACTGACTGCCATCTTGACTAGTGGTAGACTGATAGTGACGAGAGACAAACTGTGACCAGTCTTGACTCATCAGGATCTGTCTTGCCATGTGCAGGGGAAAACTAACAACCAATTGCATGTACAGCTCCAGCTGAACTCTTCATCAATTCAAATTGAAAATTTCAGTTTTAGTTTTAGTAAGAGTTTTACGGCACTTGCAACGCAATAAGTTCATATAAGTACAAGTGCTGAAGATTAGAGGTGTTACAAGAGAGTACATGTACTAACAAACATAAAAAAGGAGGGGAGATAAGGAAGATAGATGTTTGATAGGAAAGAAGAAGCAAACCACACCAGAACACCCACCAACCACCCTCAGAAAAAAAATTTCAGCCATATCACTATCAGAAGCTAGATAGATCTATTCGTTAAGGACCCTGTAGATGTAGGGTTGTTTTTTTTTAACCAATAGGCTTCTTTTCAGTCCCCTAGCCTAGGAGGGTAGAGATTTGTCGAGGGTATATCCCCTCTCAACAGTAAGCTGTTAAGTGCTTTACAATCTATTAAATTACTCCAGTGGACCTAAGAAAACTCAGAAACACTCTCTGCTTCCTGGCGAGCGTACAGTACAGGCAGACAATTAAGTGCCCAAGATTTAAAAAACAGTTCTGTCAAAGAGCCAAACCACAAGACCACCGGTACATTTTTGTACCATACACTCAGGGGAGATCATATCACTAGTGACTTTCAACTGGTCATACCACCTGTCTGCGGAAGCTATAGCTCTGGGGGTCTAGGAATCTACAATCATTAAGAATTGGAATTGTGAAATTACAAAAACTTCCCTTCATAGGCCTACTTTAAAAAAAGGGAAAAAGATACTTTTGGTTTTAGTAAGAGTTTTACGGCACTTGCAACACAATAAGGTCATATAAGTGCCAAAGATTATAAAGGTGTTACAAGAGAGAAACAAACACAAAAAGGAAAGAGGAAAGATAAGGACGATGGATGTTTGATAAGAAAGAAGCAAACCACACCAAAGCACCCGCCAACCATCCACGGAAAAAAAATAGGTGTTTTACACCTCCAACGACAATTTAGATCATTTAGGAGACAGGCTTCGACCCTGCCTGTTATGGTCAGATTGGGTTGAAATGGATACAACAACCCAACAGAAAGGCAAAAATACTCAAAAATTCTCCCCACACCGGGATCGAACTTGGGTCTGTGTTCAACAACAGCAAAGTGTCTAGCCTCTGCACCATAGACACAGGTCTGTTACTATTAGAAGCGTTACTAGACTAGAGAGTAACAAACAAAGAAAAGAAGGACGAGAGATAAGAAAGACAAATTTTTGATATATAGGGAAGAAAGAGCAAACTACACCAGAGCACCTGCCAACCATCCACAAAATGGATCAATTTTATAAACAGAAAATCAACAAACAAAAACTTGTATCATACATTTATTTTTTTTTTCTCTCTCAAGTATGAATGAATAACATTTCATGTGACAACAACAGCCTGGGAGTCTGAGTGTTTGTGGAGGGGGGTTAGGGGGTGTTCTTGTCCTGTCTTGTGTGGCCTAATGCTCACACAGCCAGGAAGTAAACAGTCACATTCAAGGAGGGAGAAACGACAGCTCCCACACACACACACAAACACACAAAAAGACAACATTGTAACAACCATAATGATGTTGAAAAACCAACAAATAAAGGCAAAAGAACGAGCTAAAAAAATGTCTTCTTTTCGTCAATCTGGTGAATGCAACAGGTGTTCAAAAGTATGCACAATCAGACAGTCAGCCATAATGCCCCACTGAGCAAAGATGACCACATTCAAACAGTGAAGCCATCACAAAAAAGTTACACGACGAGAAAATGACATAAACATAATAAGGAAAACAGCCTCACAAATGGGACAGGGAATTTACAGATTCTACAAGATCTCGATGTCTGGGCTTTTGCAACGTGACAGTTTATCCCAGGCCATATCGTCACTATATTATAATTATATTGCAAGTCTGTAGAATAAAACATACAGTATATATCATTATATATACTTTCAATTAAATTTATATCTTATCTGTGTGATGAATAGTAGAAGGATCAAATGAGAAATTCAAATAAAATGCACCTCCACCATTATCATCAACTCAGACTAAACCAGAACGCTTAAATTCATAACACCGATGCCCTAAATACTGACAAAACAACAAAGAAGATTACGCTCAATCATCGAAGGCCGAGTCGTGGACTGACATCCAAACAATGTAACAACTTTGGGGAAAAAAAATGCAACTTCCAACACATACGCACATCATCGTCATCATCCCACAAACTCCACCATGGCAAACAATTTGAGTCAGACAGTCACACCAACCAATCATTCCCATCACGCCAAAAATAAAAGGAATTATTGCAAAAAACACAGCACCGTGCACACAAAAGTCAAATATGAAACACTATCACAAAGCGACACCACCATTTCCAACCCTCAAGAGTATGGAGTAAAAAAGGTTCGACCTACAATGAGAAGTCGTAGGCTGAACCTTTCCTCTCGGAAGCTTATGAGCTGCTGGCCTGATTGTATTTTTAATTCATACCGGGGATGTACAATGTTGCTTACTTATAAAAGTAATATGAGATGAAACAAATGATTAAAACGTTCCTCCAAGTTCAGCTCTTTGCTGACTTTTGGTTTTGACTAGTGATAGCAGGCCACTAAGCCAATCACCGTCAAAAAATCACAACAGCGAGAAAGAAGAGAAAGAGAAGAAAAAAAAGGGAGCAATAACACAATTCTTTCTTTTGTGAATTTGCAAAGCATTAAATAAATGAAAAGAAAATAACATAAGAATACTGAAATGATGCTCGACTTTGGTTATGACATTTTAAAACGGAAAAAACAACAACAAAGAAAAGAATCCTATTGCCCGGCAGACATCTTTTACGGCAGTATATTATTATTTTTTTTTTAACACAAGAGGAAATCTATTATCAAGTTTTAAGCATGAACTGAACAAACTATACATTGTGTGACTAAGGGGATGATTTCAAGTTTCAGCATTGCATGCTTCTAAAGCCCCTACTACAAGCAAGATTGAATCTAAATTACAAATAGAAAACCTTCTACCACTATCAACAAGTACAAATAAATGGAGTACGACATTCACCCATTAAAATGCAACGTGTGACAGTCACAGTGTACACATATTCCTGAAATCCAATTCCCCTTCCTCGAGTTAAAAACAAAGCCAAAAAAACCCCCAACCAAAAATAAGACACAAATTCAACAAACCTTCCTCCCCCACCAAGATAGAAGACAGAAAAAGAAAAAAAAGACAATGACAAAATTCAACAAATCGCTGTAAATGACTGTCAAAACAGTTCGCAATTCAGTTATATCACAGAGCCCATGCATGGTGATGGTTGAAAACAAGCCAAAAGAAGAAGTAAGGACATTCAAAACTGAAAGAAGTATTTCCAAGATTGAGAACTCCTGCCTGAGCAATGAAAGGAACATCATACCTGAAAACAACACTAGATGTACCAGTCACTTGAGCCATTCCCAGACCAGCCAACTTCATAGACACAGATTCAGGTGACAAACAGTGACAATAATAACAATAAATAGCATTTGTATAGCGCATAAATTATAAACCCACTCAACAGCAAGCTCTAAGCACTTTAGTCACTATCTTCTTACCCTAGTAGACCCTAGAACGCCCACTGATGGAAACAATGTTTCATGCTTCTGTAAAAAGCAAAATTTTCATCCTTTTGTAAAAAGAAAACTGAAACCATCACGCTGATGTCCATAAACATTTTCAAATGTTTCCTGACAATATGACTTGAGATCCCAAAGGTACATAATTTACAACTGAATTCAAGCAAAAATTAGAGAAGAAATTCAATGTGTAAGTCAGCATGCCAGCACTTTGTAAGTATGCAATAATACTTCAAATAAAACTTTTGATCTTTGAATCAAATTTCAGTGTAAAACCAAAGAAAGATTGTCAAATCTACTAGAAATGAAAAATCAAGGGCAGTTTAGAACACTAAGTGAAAGACTCAGAGCAGGAAAATGCAAACAGAAACACAGTGAACTAAAGAAAAAAAAAATGCACAGAAAAGTTGAGATTACAAAAAGGTCAAACGTTTCAAGACACTCGGAAATTACCTTCTCATGGTATGACCTTCCACAGTAACATCTTCACTTTACATAAAACAAAATAACGATGAAACAATCCAATTTGTGAATTTTTGCAACACAACCTGATCTCTTTTTTTTTTAACTTCATGCCGACATCAAGTTTAAAGACGTTGCTCTCCCTCCAACACTTGATTTAGGTTAAAAGATAGCACATAACATGAAACTGTTGTATAATGAGCAAAAGAAAAGAGGCATATTACCTTCGTCATACACTGCCAAATCTCTGAACTTTAAATTTCAAATGATATAACCATTTTCAAAGTCCATAATAACATTTATTTGTATAGGACCAAAAAAATAATTCAATTTAGGGAAGAATTTTGATCCATCCCTTCCACAAGAGTAATGCGAGACAACCAGGGTGTCAATACTAACTGGGTGGCTGGAAATTTTGTGTTATTTTTTGTGGGGGGTTTTTTTTGGTAAGTGTTTTGCGGCGCTCGCAACTGCATAAGGTCATATGAGCGCGCGGGACACACCTAATGTTATCAGTTGGTAGGAAATTTTGAATTTTGCACGGGTGGCGGCCGAAGCCTACTCTTATCGATTTTAGACCACCAAGGGATCTTTAATGTGCGCAACTTGCACACGGGCCCTCCAAGATTTTTCGCCTTTGTCCAAGAAGGCTAGATGTAGATCTTTCCTATCCAAAGATCAGGGGTGTGGCTGAAAGACAGCAGTAAGAAGAAGCAGTAGAAAGGCTGCAGAAAGAATCAGGAGCCCAGAGGAAGGAGCAAAGGAGGTGGGGGCAGAAAGAGGAGACGAAAGCAGACGACAGAACATTGCTAGAGAGCAGGAAATGAGGTGAAAGGAGACAAATTTAGAGAAGAAAATTGTTCGGTCGCTACCCGGATTCGAACCCGGGACCTTTTGAATGAGAGGCCAACACCTTAACCTCTAGGTCATGAGAGCCCCCATGCGTGATCTCAATATGCTTCATAAAACTCCTGACAATACTGCAAAAGCATTCCAAATGTCAAATTTTCCCAGACAACAAAATTTGGCTCATTCAAAGTGTTATAATTTATCTTTAACATCTGCAAAGGGACAACTCTTGTGCATTGAAATGAATTTATTCAGTAATTAAGTCAACACTTTGCCGCTTGCGGTCACTTGGCGCAATAATGCGCATTATTGCGCCAGTGCGCCAGGTCTGAGAAGTCTGTTGCAGTCACTCTCCTGGCTGGGTGACCAGATGGGATATTTTGTACTGCTGGCTGTGTGATTGCAAAGTGTTAAGAACAACAAAAAGAGGAACAAATCCAGAATTGTGGCTCAATTGCGGCCCCGAACACCCCCCCCCACGGACCAACGACAATGGGATTTGGTGTATAACGCCTAATCATTTCATACAACCGTGACAATATTTTTTGTGGTACGCTAATGATGAAAACTCATTTACAACTTCAAATGAAGTTTAAGTGAAAGTGTTTTCTCTTTCAATACTTGTACCAAATAGAAGCAGTCTTGCAAATTTCACTGCACCACAAAATAAGAATTGCACTTTGCAAACATTGTTAAGCTGAAAGGCCAAGAGGCAAACTACCATGACAATTAATGACATGCATCCTTTGTTTTTGGTCCCGATGAATGTGAAAAGGGCACTTGCACTTTTAGCCCCAAAAAAAGACAACATTATTAACTTTTAATCATCCTTGAGCTAAAGACATGTGCATTGCCATATGCTTGACCTTAAAAGCTCAGGGGTTTTACACCAGCCCCAGCCATGAAAATAACAGAAGAAATGATAGATAAATGTGAAAAAGAAATCATGATAGTCCATCAAGCTCACATAATCTCAAAATGACTCCCTTGACTGACCTGTAAATTCTGACTTTCAGTCAAACAGTCCATTGACAAACCTTGCACTAAAATCTTCCCACCATCTACCCAGACACAGCACACGCACACACCACGAACAGGACATGGCATTCACTTGTGATATTACCGACACACACGTCCACCCAGACCCTCAGTCAGTCGTGTTTGAGTTCACAAAGAACATACTGGGACTGCTACATAGCATTTAAAGATGAAAATCTGCCCAACTGCAAATGTACTCTGCTTATACATAACAAAATGTTTCAGTCAGTGCAGAAAAAAATCTGTAACATCAGAGCCGGGGGGGGGGGGGGGGGGGGGGGGGCAACTGATAGTGTGTGTTTGTGTCTATACTTCAAAACTATCTTGTATAAGGCTCTGAATCAGGCAACAAATACTTGAGGGACATTGCAGGCAAAAAATGATAGAACATAAAAGGCACACACAATAATCTTCTTCAACCCTGTTTAAACAAGGAACAGAAATTCTACTTAAATATTCTTCATTAACATAAAACTTTCTTTGATTTAGTGAAGCAACCAAGGGTGTGCCCGCGTTAAGAAGGACACATCATGCCTCACTTTTGCCATCCATCACACCAAAGTTGTCCACATGTGATCACAAGAGTGCAGTTGAAATGCAAAACCAGAACATTCAGAATACAGGGAACAAAAGATTTTGTAATTGAATGAGTTTGTATGATTTGCCTTTGTTGCGTTTATAATTCCAATACACATATTTACAATCAGTGTTCGTTTTTCACCATACGGAAATTGTACATTGCAGAAAACATTCTATTCAAATCTTTGACAGAGAAATAAATATAGATTAGATCACAATGCTGAATAGTATGTACATAGATTTTTTTTCTGAGGAGGGGAACACAATCTACAAATAATTGGTTGAAGAGCTAAGTAAACAGACTAAGACTATGTAATAGTCTCGTCATCAACCCTTTGCTTTGCCCTGTAAGAACTGCAGGAATTCGTAGTAGGACATGCTGTTTTCCGTGCGATCTTCCAACATGTGCTGGAAGAATAGGTGCCTGTGTTTGCTGTCGTCCCTAGGGAGAAAAACATAATGATTGTGTAAGGACAGCTGCAACTTTATGTACCAGGTGTCTCAAACAAAACAAAAGAGTACCCGCTTAAACTGCAATATAACTCAAATATCTTTGAACTAATTTTAATAAAAATCTGCAGCAATAAAATTCAACAATAGGGACGTCACATTTGTCAATATTGTTTGTTTTTGTAAAGTGTTTTACGGCACTCGCAACTGCATAAGGTCATATGAGCGCGCGGGACACACCTAACGTTTTCAGTTGGTAGGAAATTTTGAATTTTGCCCGGGTGGCGGCCGAAGCCTACTCTTATCGATTTTAGACCATCAAGGGGCCTTAAACGTGCGCAACTTGTACACGGGCCCTCCGAGATTTTTCGCACTTGTCCGAGAAGGCTAGGTGGAGATCTTTCCTACCAGAAGATCATGGGTGAGGCTGAAAGACAGCAGTAAGAAGAAGCGAAGGAGTAGCAGTAGAAAGGCTGCAGAAAGAATCAGGAGCCCAGAGGAAGGGGCAAAGGAGGTGAGGGGGTGGGGGCAGAAAGAGGAGACGAAAGCAGACGACAGAAAATTGCTAGAGAGCAGGAAATGAGGTGAAAGGAGACAAATTTGGAGAAGAAAATTTTTCGGTCGCTACCCGGATTCGAACCCGGGACCTTTTGAATGAGAGGCCAACACCTTAACCTCTAAGGCCACGAGAGCCCCCCATTAGTCAATATGACAAAAATAAATTCATTTGTTCGAAAAATACCAAATTTAATTTTTTTAAATTTTAATCAACCAAAATGCAAAACTTTGCAATTAAGATCTCTAGGTGTAGACCATTTCTTTTCATATAAGTTCCAATACACCACGGGAACTTTTGAATAACCCTGTGCCATGTTTCTGGGTTGATTCTTTGAACGTTTTTGTTCGATTGTTTGTGGGTCGTTTCCCTACACTGTGTGTGTCAAAAAAAACCAAAGGTAATAATTGAAAAGGCATCAGTTGGGAGGGAATGTGGTAACCATTCATTTGTAAATGTTTGGCTAATAAGGCATTTCCCAAACAGAAAAATGATCAACAATTCATATTCATTATCATCAAATGTCTTGTCTCGAGTACACATTGGCAATTATGATTCTCCATCCCTCCATTTCATTCAAGCCCTTCATAAATGAGTTTTTGTTCAGTGTTTTTAGTTGCCGAGGTGTTAAGACTATTCATGAATCCCAATTATATCTGAGATAAAATTTCTTCCGATTATAACTAAAAGGGCCGTACCACAAACAACAAACAGACAAATATTGAATTTTATCTATATTCAGGGAAGCCACTGGCATTTTGTGAAAATACCTGCAAATTTATACAAAGTTGCATTTGCCCACAAAAAGACAGTTAATAGCCTCAACTTCTATGGAGTTAAACAGAAATTAATCTACAGTGCCTTCAGATGAAAATAACGGAAATAAAAGACACCTCCCAACCCTCAAAAAAGGCATCTCTGCACATGAAAGGACTATATTTAAAGACATATTTCTCACCTGATCACTAAGAAGGTGATACCGTTGGGCCTGGAGTCTATGAGGAAATTCACAAAACAGCGAATCATCTCCGAGGTGGGGTTCTCCAACTCAGGCAAGTCAATCTGTGGGGATGTTCAGTGAGTGGTGAATTTCAGTTTCATATTGACAAAAACGAACGCTGGCAAAAACGAACGCTGGCATTAAGTTATGTTTCATAAAGTCTCTTCTTTTTTTTTTCTCAACAAAAGGATTATGTAAACCTGGCCTACATTTTTCACAGAGCAACACAAATCCACAGACACAGTTCTGGTCAGATACACTGCCAGCGACAAGACAGAAAGCAAAAGCAACTGAAGAAAAGCAAATGCTTCTGAAAAATAGCAGCGTTGAACTACTTTGGAAGATAAAGTGGATATGAAGGGGAATATTATTCATCAGGTTCACAGGCCAAATCACAATAAGTGCGATCAAAGATCCATCATTTAGAAACTGTTACTCTTATTTCAGATTTGTTTTCTTTGAAGTCACTAATGGTGGTAGTTCCTGACAACAAACCTTTTCCCCACAATGTGTGAGATCAATGTAACCGCCCCCCCCCCCCCCCCCCCCCAAAAAAAAAAATCAGCTTCTCAAAGAGGCAGGATTAAAAATAAAAGTAGCTTACCAGGGTCTGCGAAAGTACAAAATAATGTAAAACAAGTAACATTATACCAATGCTCTGTTATCAAATTAAATTATTTGTGTGCTATATTTTACTCACCATGCCATCTGGGATTGACATGAAATTTGGTTTTTCAAACACGTCTTGGCACATCTGGTCCCCAACGCCACTGCCCACCAGGAGGTACATGGCATCTCCCGTGTCCATCAGAAACAGGCCAGTCCGGTCAATATTCGCAGACGACAACTGAAGCTGGGGAGTAGCCGGAATCTCCTCCTTCCCTCTCTTTAGTGGGGTCTGAAAAAGGAAGAAAAAATATATGAACGTCCAAAATCGCCTAGATATCTCAAAAGCATCATTCAACAATCGCCTTAGTTATTTGGAAGTTTTGGGAAAATTAAAGAGAAAGAGAGCGCCTAAATCAGAACTGTGATTTAATCACCCATTATCTTTCAATTGAAAACTAGGAAGGAAATTATGAAACAGAACAAAAAATATATATGCTCACTGATGTCTTTATTTGAATAGTGGTTTAATCTGGAAACCCCAAGAAATTGTTATGAGTGATTGTGGAATGACGTCCGCTGACAAATACGTTCTGGCAGCAATCTCATAAAAAGTTCATCAACACAGATATGCGTACACATAAAATACAAGGTCCTTCCAGTGTTTTGTCAAAAACGCTTGAGGGAAATGTATTCAGGGAACATACAGTAATAACAAGTCACATGCTACATAAAACACTGACTAAAATCTATAAAAAAGATCTCATAAAGTCCTGGTGTAGGAGCTTTCCTAAGCCTTTTTATAGGCAATTTTCTCAAATTATTGGGCCTCTTGCAACATTAATAGTTTATTCCCTGAGCCAACTGACAGCGTCAGCTACCAGCTTGCCCCACTCTTCAAACATCCTATCAATGCCATTGAGACCAAAACCAAGCCATCAACTCTATCTTCATCTCCACTTGACCTGCCAGTGCCAGACATGGACCCTTACCAAAAGTCTGGAACGTAAGATAACCACTTGCGAGATGAGATGTCTAAGGAGAGCCACGAACAAAACCAGACGGGACATGGTCAGAAACAACAAGATCAGAGAAATGGTTGGAGCAACACCTGTCCTCCACTACATTCTAAGGCAAACAATCAGATGGTTTAGAAATGTCACACGTAAGGCACCTAACCAGCTTGCCGGTAAAGCCTACTACAGGTAAGTATCAGAGTACAAGGCAAGAGGAAGACAAAGAAAGACCTAGATCCAGGATACCCTGATAACATACAATACCCCACCCAGCCAAGCCATCAAACTTGATAGAGACAGGAGGCTCTTTCTCCCCTCGACGCCCTAGAGGTACAAGAGGACGGATAAAGTAAAGTAAAGCCAACTGACCTCACTACTGATTCTGTGGAGTGGGTAAAGGTGAGGGTAGAGGCTCTGCATGAGGTAGCACAGCGGCTGCACCTTACACTGCTGCATGGCAAACACACGGTCGTCGGTCTTGGTACTGGAGGATAAGCTGAAGGCAATCTGCACAGGGAGAATAGAAAACATTCATACAATAACAACTCATTAAAACAAGAAACAAATCGACAGCTCTGTGTAAGACTCCGTCAAACATCACCTTTCAAAATTGGCATATGGTGGAGTCTTAACTCTATAAACCCCATCGGACGCTGGGAACGTCCGGCAGTAATAACCCTGCTCCTTATCGGTCCGATACTAGTGACAACATTTTCATTTTATTTAGAGATAGTTTTTGCTTGTTTTTCTGAACTATTCCCAAACTAAGTCTTTTAGTAATGACTAAGCATTTGTTTTCGCCATTTAGAAGTTTGAGGCAAACTTTTGGGTTGTAATGCGACAGAGAGCACTAGGTTTATGTGACTGTAGAAAAAACTCCGGGAAACGGTGAAAAAAACAGGGTTTAAAGAGTTAACAATAAGCAATCAACATATTGTAGTACAAATCCTGAGCACCCCAAATCTACAATTTCACCTCTGACTATAAAGAGGCAGACGCCCATGTGTAAGTTGCTCTGTTAACACCTATGGAGAGCTGCTGTTGCACAAATCTACATCCATCCAACATGAAGTCATTTTCCTGCTAAGAGAGCTAAAATCATATTCAGCATTTATATACGACCTAATTTTGTTACAAGTTCTGTGAAAACTCTTACTACAACAAAAATCTTTATAAATAAACAAATTTTTTTTAAAAACTCGACTACTTACACTCTTGAACATGGCCAGCATATACAAGGGCAGGAGGCGCTGTGAGTATGGACCTTAGAAGGCACCCACACCCTTATCCCTCCTTTTATGTGCTTGTTACTTTCTTGCAATATATTCGGCATTTATTTATATGACCTAATTGTGCTGCAAGTTCCGTATAAATCTAAAAATAACAATAACTTACACTCTTGAGCATGGCCAGCATATACATGGGCAGGAGGCGCAGCGAGTGCGGGGCTAACAGGGCACCCACGCGCTGGGAGGCCGGGACCTGCTGGGCGTAGGCTGACAAAGTGTCTACTGGTGCGTTGATCATGGCATCGCGGGCGTCGCTGATTGCAGAGTTGAGAGACCTGTCCACAGCTGCCAGCGAGAGAAAATAAAACCATTAATTTAAGCCCTCTGGCACGTTTTTAACACACAGAATAGTATCTTCAATGAATCTTCTTTTTCCCCTGCAGATGGGTAGACATTGCTGACGGTAGGGAATCAGACCTTACAACACAAAGTCATAATAATACCAATCACTGCCAAAAAAACAAAAACAAAAAACTGAAATGAAAGTTAAGATACTAACATCTGATGATGAAAGGGTTACCTTTTGTAAAGCATTGCACAATATTTCCTCCAGAATAAGGCAGACAAATTCTTTAAAACAAAAGAAGAAGAAAAAAAAAGACAAATATTATAAATGAGATATTGCCGCACTGACCACCTATAAAGAACACACGATATTAAATGTGGCTAGTACAAATTAACAAATCCATTCCCTATGAACACAGGTAACAAAATATATATCCAAGACTAGAATACTGAATTCTCATGATGCAATCAAACAAAAAACAATTCAACTATCACAACACATTCCGACAGAAATCAATTTCCTGTACTTGGAAGCTGTCAACTTACCCATCTTGGCCAACAAAGCCGCCACAGCCTGCTGATCTGCTGTAGCAAACACTTCCCCGATCTGGTTTGTGACAGGGACGCAAAGAGTGTGGACTCGAATTCGCCGCTCTCCTGAAACAAGGAAAAACGCCAGTAATATCGAGTGACTGACATCGTGCTCTCCAGGGAAACAATTTTGGCGGGAGGAAAAATCATCAAAAAAGCATCATTTGTAGGATCATTAACATTTTCTCTGCTTTAAAGATAAGGGGGCACTTCATATCACATATATGATAGGGCTGTTTCTAGGTTTTCTTTGTGTTGTGCACAGTGCAGTTAAGTTGCCATATCAACTGTCACAGTTCATGATCAATACTTAGGGACTATGGAAACACTCAAATGAAGCAGAAGGAGAAGACCTCCACGAAAACACCCATCATCCAACCACTTACATTTTTTTTACAGCAGACAAACCACACACACAAACACACAACAAAACAACCCCCCCCAAAAAAAATCCTGTCCATCAAATAATTTTCTCACCTTATCTTTTTCACTACAAAAAACTCAACAGACTTCACAAGACCTTAATCTTGTTTCACACACACACACAAACAATCCCCGGTACCTTTGCTTGAGGTGTACAACAGAGCTGCCTGGAAGCTGACGGTGGGGGACTCGTTCAGGTTGTCCTCTATGGACATCTGCATGCCAAAGCCAGCGTCTGGGTTGATGTTGGGCAGCGACAGCAAGTCCGTCGACCGCACAAAGAAGTTGCCGTGGAAGGTGTGGATGCTCAGGCCTGTACAGTGAAAAAACATCAAGTTGAAAGGAAACCCTAAATCTCATACATTAGAAACATATCGATATGGACAGGAAAATACCCTTGTGATCAGATTTTAAAACATTAATATGGATGATGTTAACGATCCAGTTATATGAATATGGAAATAATGGCAACCTGACATTAAAATACTATAAAACATTCCGTCATTATGATTATGAGTTTTGAAACCATGCACTGTTACAATAGCAGCATATCTTTGTACAACATACATTCAAAACAATTTACTTATGGCTTATGACCAAAAATACAATCATCCCATTGAACCGTATGGGGGCTGAGCAAGAACCAAAACAAAATTGTCAAACTTACTCTAGTGAACACCTGTCCAAGACAATCACCTGTCCAAACAACCACTCTTCCACCCTTGCTTTTTCTTTTTTTTGGTCTATTTTAATGAAACAGCCCAAGAGGACCACCTGTCAAAGGTGACTACTTTTCTCCTCCACAGTGCCTGGCCATCTCAGACAGGCTCAACCGTAAACCATTACTTATCAGAGCGAAGAAGCAAACTAACCTCTCGTGCACCTGATCCTCATCACCGACTCGAAGCCAATCTTTCTTGTCAAATAACGGCGCAGGTCATTTTCAAACTTATCCACCTGGCTGGGGTTCTTCACGGTGTGAAATGATGGGAAATGGTAAATGCATCCTGCTGAATACTTGGATATACAGGCTGGAGAGTAAAAGAAAACGATCTAAACAAAGAAAGAGAAAAAAAAATGAACACAAACATTTCTGTTTCCCTCCCTTCCATATCATTTATTACAAATGCCTTTCTTCATATAAAAATTACTATTTCTTTTTTTCCCCTTCAGGAGGCAGACAATAGGCTTAATAGTAGGGCACCTAGATTTTACCCAAGGAGGCAGAGGGATTAATAGCATGGCACCTTGCTCTCCACTTTACCGTACAAAATTAACTCCCACAGGGACAATTCCCCAGTTTACTAAATGGCAGCTTGGAAAAAAAACAAGAAAACAAAACAAAATGGATCCCTTACACAGTGTGGCAATGTCTGCATACTGGCCATTGAGCATGAAGAGATCTACTGCAATCTGCTGAGCTGAGCAATCCAGGGATAACTTCTTGTAAAAATCTGTGGCAGGCCCTATATTTGTCACATTCTGGAGGAAGAAAACAAAAAGATATATTAACAACCGTTTATATACATACCAAAACACAACAAAATTATGTCAAAAACAAATTCGAGATACACCAGTTAACAAAAGTATGACTTATTTAGTCAATCAAAACAGTTTAGAACAAAGTCTTCACTAATAACTCGTGCATCTTCATCATGCTGATAGAACAACTTATTCACTACGACAGACAATCTTTCACATTTCTGCTCTAAATATTCTACAAAGTAAAAAAGGTGCATATGCATCGAAGCCAAAGCAGCAAAAGAACTATACCCTTTAAGGGCTAAGAAAATGAATAAGGAACGCTAAAACCCAAGAGAGGACATTGAAAACCAGTATGAGAAAAAATTTGAAAATTTATATGATGACCAACATTGGAAAAAAAAAAAAAGATTCTTACTTTGCCAGAGGTATTGCCAGAATCTCTGTTTTGTAAAGCACCAGGTCCCACCGTAGGAAGGCAAGTCTGCATAACTGTGACTCTCCCACCTGTAGAACTCTGGGGGGGGGAAAACATTGTTTAAATATTATGTTCATCATCATAAAGTGTTAGATCTTAGTTTTGTTTGTTTGTTTGTTTGAGTGAAGAGAAGCACATCAACACAATAATGGTAATCTTTCTAGTGCTGGGGAAAAGGTAAGACAGACATACAGAAATAACAGAGGGAAAGTGAAGAAGCAGGACCTACCAGTGGCACCCTCCATCCACCTGCAGTGCCAGATCTGAACCAGACATACCAAATCATGGTTTCCCATTATTTCTCGACTCGGATGTGCTCTAAAAAAATCCCATAATATGTAATCTCCTAAAAATTTAACAACAACCCTTTCCTTTTCATAAACATATTTTAGCTACAACAGTGTCATTCTGACTTTACAAACAAAAACAAAACAACAAACTGAAAAAGTCATTACCGTAATTACGGTATACAAAACAAAGCACTGGCCTGGGGTGGCCTGGAACCCAAAAGGCTTTTGGTGCTTTCTTTCTTTTTATCTTTTGTACATGTGAGTGTGTGTGTGTGTGTGAGTGTATGAGTGAGTGTGTGTGTGTTGCAACTTAGCAACCCCAAAAAG